TCATCATCATCACCATTACGTAAAGGTGCAGCGTGCTGATCCTGCTGTTTCTTTATTTTCGGTGAAGGGTTATTTACCCGCAGCGTAAATGTTGGTAATGAGTGTGTGTGTGTGTGCGTCGGGTGGGTGGTCACGTTTTTTAATGTGGTATTGCGATTTCGCGGGCGCCCTGCGTACGTGCCGTCGTCGAACTGATCATGAAAGAGCAGTGCCTGTGTCTGCGGGGCAGCAAGAAAGATCATGAGTTTGCTGTGCCTGTGTGTGCACAGGAACATGAACGTTATTGTCCCACCCCACCCCGCCCCACACCACCCCTCCGCTAACTGATCATGAAAGAGCAGTGCCTGTGTCCGCAGGACAGCAAGAAAGATGATGAGGTTGCTGTGCCTGTGTGTGCACAGGAACATGAACGTTATTACCCCACCCCACTGGAACATGAATGAGAGATGATCCGGGTGCGCAAGTGAATGACATTTTGCTCCTGGGTGCGCAAGTGAGTGTGGATGCGCATTTTGAAGAGGCTTGGCTTTCTAACGGCTATAATTTTCACAGGAGGCCTTTTTTTGGTCCTGACCTCGCTTTGGAACGCGCCAGGCTTCCAAAGTAGTGCGCCTGTCAGTAAATCTCATGTCTGTGTGGTTGGCATTGCTTTGATGATGTGTATGATTTTGTGTTCCAAAGTGAGACTAAAATGGCTGTGTTCCAAAGTGACGATTCAGACTGTGTTCCAAAGTGATCCTGCTACCGCTTAATAGTGCTGAATAGTGGTTAATTAGTGCTTAACAGTGCTGAATAGTGGCTAACTACAGCTTAACAAATCTTAACAGTGCTGAATAGTGGTTAATTACTGCTTAATAGTGCTGAATAGAGGTGAATCGTGGTTAATTAGTGCTTAATAGTGCTGAGTAGTGGTTAATTAGTGCTTAACAGTGCTGAATAGTGGTTAATTACTGCTTAATAGTGCTTAATAGTGCTGAATAGTGGTTAGTTAGTGCTTAATGGTGCTGAATAGTGGTTAATTAGTGCTTAATAGTGCTGAATAGTGGTTAATTAGTGCTTAATAGTACTGGTTAATAGTGGTTACAGTAATTAGTGGTTCATAGTGGTTCATAGTGGTTATTAAACCCAACAATAATAGGATATAGCAAGATGTGTAGTATAAGTAGGGGAGATGTCGAGTTATTTCACCGGGGTGGATTAATATAATTCCCGATTCCACGATTCCTGGGGTGAACTACCAAGCAGAACTTTGTTCATTTTGGGTATATTGCATCGACCGGATTTTGGTGCTAAACAAGTCGAAAACTACCCGAGGGTAAACGAAGATAGATGTGGAAAACCTGTGGTTGTTCGGCAAATGATGTTCTACTGTCATGCTGGGTTTTCCACATCTATACTTCTATTCGTTTGAAGGAAGGTATCAACTACAAAAAGATAAAGGGTAACAAAACACACCTTTATATAGTGGTAAATTATTGTTTATTTTTTTTCGATGGTTAAGACTTGCTGAATATTAATGCTCATGGATTGAGTGATTTGGGGGTTTTATACTGGTGAATGACTTCTCAAAGGACTTTGAAACAAAGTGAATGATCCCTGAACAGTAATGATAATTGAACAGTTTGAATGGAAATAAAGTGAAACATCAATGGTGATGATGATGATTATGATGGCGATGATGATGTTGTTGATGATTCTGATGATATTCAGATGATAGTTGTCATATGATGTTCAATGACTTTATATTTGAATCAACAACTGTTTATTAGTTACATTATGTACCTATAGTCATATAAACAATCATATAGTTTTTGCAAAGTTGTATCCAACAACTTTGTCATATGACTTTTCAATGACAACTTCTTCAAATGATCTTTAGACAGTTGCCATTCAGATCGTTCATCAGATTCATTCAGATTCCAGGACGCCGAAGGATGTGGAGGAGCTGAAGGCGAAATTGCCTGGATACAAGATCAAGGGGTCCCTTGCTGCAAACGCTTGGACAGCTTGAGAGATGATGAGAGATGAGTATCTAAAAGTGGCCAAGGTTATGAATGGTGAATTTCTCTTCATGGGAGGTTTCCATGGGTTTTCTTTATTTCTAATGTACTTTTATCATTTCTGTTGCTCCAATTGGGAATTGAATCTTTTTGGGTAATTTATTGCTGGTTGGTGGTTTGGAACATTTTTTATTTTTCCATATATTGCCAATAATAGCCCAACTGACTAATATTTTCAGAGGGGTAGGTCAACCACCAACCAGATTGGCTTTTGCAGCCGTTCCCACGAAAAAAAATAACCATATTTACTGGCAAAGGGTCGATGAACATCAACGGAGGACCCAGGACAGGTCCTTGGGGATGCAGTTGAGGGTACTACTGTGGTTATAAACCCCCAAAAGTTGGGATAAACTTCAAATCTATTGCAAAACATATTCACTCAGACTTGGAACTGCAAGTAGCTGAGTAGCATCCATGTAGACCTCATTGGCGAAGATCGGCGAAGGGTGGTTGAAGGTGGCACGTGATTTCCATGATTGGTACAGCTACTGGATGATTTCGCTCCAAATGCAGCTGGGATTGTTCATGGGATATACCCGAATTGCCAACTATTTGCTACCTTGAGATTTTCGTCCAGTAGCTTCCAGGTTGCGTGACAACCGGATGCACTTTGGTTCGAATTCAGAGGATACTGATCATTCACTGTGGAGTCTCAATGTTGCCACGTGTTTCACAAGGTAGAAAGCAAGTGCAATTCCAGGCGGGATGACCAAACTTTAACTTGTTTTCTTAAGTCTTATGCCCATGGGTCTATAGGCTGTTGATTTTGTGTTATTACATTAAACAATCCGAATACCGCATGCAAGAAGTTCTTCCAACAGACCTCTATATACTGGTACTACGAAAATGGGACAAATTTCATTTATGTGGGCCCAATGCCGTACATGCCGTCCAAAATAGTGAACAGATTGTGTCTCTCTGCAGACTAATGACGGCGCTTCGCGTCATTGACGTGGGAGTGAATTTGAGGCAGCAATGGATCAGTGCAGAACAACAGGAACAGAAAGGATATGAAGTTTTCTGACTTTTTCAAGTCTTACTTTCCATTAAATAACATCATTTGATATTTCATAAATAAGAATAGAATAATAATAGTTTGTTTCCAAAAATAACATCATATCATATATTTTCATAAAATCAAGTATGTTTTCTCAATTTTCCAAGTTTTTCTTGGTTCTTCTGACCCGATTTCTCACTGGTTTAAGGTTGTGGTGCCCAGTGATGCCTAAATGAAAATAGAAAACAGATACTAGAACTTTCTGAAGCAAAGGAACTAGGGCACCACAAGTCAGAATTATTAGCACTAAGATAGATAGATGGATGGATGGATGGATAGATAGATAGATAGGTAGATAGGTAGATAGGTAGATAGGTAGATAGGTAGATAGGTAGATAGGTAGATAGGTAGATAGATAGGTAAATAGGTAAATAGGTAGATAGGTAGATAGGTAGATAGACAGATAGGTAGATAGATAGATAGATATTTAGATATAAATAGATATTTAGATATTAGATGTGAATAGATAGCTAGCTATATATATATATATTTATATTGGTATATTTATATAAATATATTTAGAGATTGGTATAGACTACATTTAGATAGATACAGGTACATATAGATAGATATAGATATGAATGATACATTTAAATATGGATATGTCTGGAAATATATTGATATAGAAATAGATAGATAGAGATAGATAGATTTTTTGATTGTTTTTTAAAGATAAATATGTTGAAAGCTGAACAGGTAGATATAGAAATAGATAGACAGAAATATATAGATAAAACAGACATATATATATATAGATATATAGGTAGAAACGTAGAAAGGTAGATAGGTAGAGAGGTATATAGGTATATAGATAGATAGATTGATTGATTGATTGATAGATAGGTAGAGAGATAGATAGATTAGATTAGATTTTATTAGATTAGGTTAGATAGATAGATCGATAGATAGATAGACAGATAGACGGATGGATATCACCCCTGTAGTATTTCCACATATTCCCACAATTCCAAGAGTTTTACAGTTATACAAATCGAAATATTGGTGCCACTAATTTTCTTTCCCACTACCTACATGTAACTGTATCTTACCTCTGATTTTTGTTTATACACCAACTTTATATATATATACACATATTTAACCACACTGTTTACAACTATAGAACATTTAATATACGCATATATATATATATCATATATATATATATATCATATGTATATATCATATATATATATCATATATATATATCATTTGTATATATAATCATATATATATATATATATATATTTATATTTACAAATGCACACCGTTTAAAATTTATAAATACAGATAAATAAATATATATATATATGGTACATATGTATGTGTACACAATACGTTAGTATTTAGATATATAGATTTATAGATTGTTAGCTATATATATAAATATATATATATATATATAGATAGGTAGGTAGGTAGGCAGATAGATAGACGGATGGATATCGCCCCTGTAGTATTCCCACATATTTAGCCACAATATTTTACAACTATAGAACATTTAATATACGTATTTATATATCATATATATTTACAATATATACATATATGTATACACACCGTATATATATATATATTATATAGTATACATATATACACAATGTTTTAGTATTTAGATATATTCATTTATAGTTATGTATATATGTATATATTTAGATAGATAGATAGATAGATAGATAGACAGATAGATAGATAGATATATAGGTAGCTAGGCAGATAGATAGACGGATGGATATCGCCCCTGTAGTATTCCCACATATTTAACCACAATATTTTACAACTATATAACATTTAATATACTTATTTATATATCATATATATATATATATTTATAATATGTATATATATATATATATATATATGTACACACACCGTCTATAGATATAGATGTAGATAGATAGATAGATATATATATATATATATATATATATATATCGTAGACATATATACACAATGTGTTGGTATTCACACTAGGGGGTCCCAGTAGCATTTCTTTTTATCCCTGCAATCGTTCTGCCACCCAGTCCTGGCTCGCGCGCCATTTGCAGCTTGAATCTCGGGGATAGGGGAGATTTCATGGAGACATTTTTACAAGGAAATTATATGCTTTATACCCTTTGGTTATTTAACAATTTGCCATGGAAAATCACCATGCTATTAGTAGGTAAACCATCTATAAATGGTGATTTTCCATGGCTATGTTAAATAACCAGAGGGTAATATGGTAATCATATGCTCTAACAATTGGACATGTTTGGAGAATCCTATGCTTTATCAATACGGAACATAATGTGGACAACGCGCATTTAGACAAATCATTTCGATACAGTTGGTGTCTCATCATCTGCACCATGTTAGATGATCATATGTTTGGTTTATTTTTTTGAATATGTGAATGAACTCAATAGGAACTTATGTTTGATGGGGGTGGATATTTATTCCAACACTATGGTTTTTGGATATGTTTGCTATCTACCCTCCGGTGTCCTCAAACATGGTTTTCTAGGAAATTTCCAGGATTAGTTCGATGAATTTCTGAGCTAGAAACCTCCATTTATAAGGATTTCCCATGATATTATATTGTTGACTAATGACATGATTATTACATTCGCATGAATGATATTCCCCTAAATAAATAAATAAATATATATACATATTCCCCTTATTAAAAAAAACACAAAATTGGTGATTGAATCGCTGAATTTCAATGGTTATATCCCATTATATCCCAATGTGGAGATTTTTGGTATCCAATCATGGTCATATTTGGGACTTGGTGGTTCCAGGGTGACATTCCAGTAAAAAGTGGGATAAGCGGGGTGATTGTCCAGTTACAACTGGAGTGAAATACCCCATAAACACGATTCGCGTATTTGGCCTCAATTAATGGCCATGAAATACTCGGGAACATGAATTAATCGGTAACTTGAGGGAAAGTGCGGTTTTTAGTACACGGCATCGAATTGTGTAATCCATTGATTTCAAAAAATCTTAATGATAACATCATCTGGTTGGTGGTTTGGAACATTTTTTTATTTTTTCCATATATTGGGAATAATCATCCCAACTGACTAATACTTTCCAGAGGGGTAGGTATACCACCAACCAGTCATCCAAAGGATAATCACAGGCTCGTTGTGAGGTGCCCCCTGTGCCAAGGTGATATCATGGATGCAGGAACGCAACAGTTTACCTAGTGAAATACACCAACTTAGCTACTGCGACTATGGGGTATCAAGAAACATACTTATTAGTTATTAGTGTGTATATATAAACAATTATTCCCATGATATTCCCAACATTTCAGAAAAGAGTCATTAGTGTTAGCAAGGATGTGCCCAGACTTCCCTCATGTTTTGTTCCAAACTCATCATCATCATCATCATCATCATCATCATCGTCATCGTCATCATCATCATCACCATAACCATCATAATCATCATAATCATCATCATAATAATAATCATCATCATGCTTAGTTGTTTGCACGGGCTTGCTCAAAGGTCTAGACATTGAATAAACTACGCATGATTTATATATATTTATAAAATGTAACTATTATCATATTAGCATATTACCATATTAATCATATGCAATCAACCAACGCGACTTTCAATCACTATAAAATCACAGCGACAAAAGTCCACACGAATTCTTTGCTGGATGGCTGATCCCATAGCGCAATCTTAGCCCCAAAATCCAGGGCCTTCCAGAAGGTTAACTGCTGGGGTTATGGTTTATCCCGGGGGTACCAACAATCAAAAACCAAACATTTCCACTTGATAGATTTCTTAGTATATCTATATCTATATCTATATATATATATATATATCATATATCCCCTTCTCATATATATTGTTGCTTTGGTGTGATATTCCCACGTCGCCACCGCCGGCGGAACCAGGTAGTGGCCAGGGTCGTTTGGAGGGCCAGCGCTTGCGGCTGCTGGAAGTTCGCCGGGGTGTTCGGACGGTGGAGGAGGCGGTAACGGCCGAAGATAGCGAAACTCTGGGAATTATGGGAAAGTGGTTGGGAAAGAATGGTCATTTAACCAAGGCACATGGGGATTTCCTTTATGATTTTACATGATGTTTTTGTTTTTTGATTTATAGCTGATTTATAGCTGATTTATGATAACTAAGTTGGTGAACATAACTCAAATTTCACTATAGGACTTCTGGTAGACATATGGAACTTGTCAATGGGGTTACAAATCAACCAACTTCATTGGGAACCATATTGTACCATCCCCAAAATTAAGAGTTCGACCCTGAAAATGCAATTCCCGACTCATGGCAGGGTCGTCATGTTCATTCAGCGGCTGAAACATGCTGGTGAGTTCACTATTGCAAAATGCTAAATTTGCTAAATGAATTCCAACCAATAAGCACTATTGGGATAGCATATAATGTGTATTTAACCAACTAAAAATTTGGTAAAAGTACCCAAAAATGGTGAAGTTGAGATGAGATCATCTGAGATAACTGGCAAGAAACAGCTGGATCAGGCTGTTTTCTTTTAATAATATATTAAGGATCCTGTTCATTAAGGATACAAGATGCTCCAGCTGATGGGAACATGGAAGGCCTGAAAAAGGATGATCGCATGAAGCAACGCTTGGAAGATTTTGAAGCAACATCTTCTTAATGCGATAATCACTATGTATTATCAGGGATACTGGGATACTTGATATACTTGACTTTGAAGATTTGGAAGAAAACCACTCAGATCGGACATCATCATACATCATCCAGATGCTTTTTCAGATCAGGTCCCTTTGAGTGATTGAAGCTGCGGTACAACTCAGTTAACTAAGTCCCAGTTCCTGACTTCAGCTGATTGATGGTTTTTGATGGAAATATAAAATCACTATTAAGACTATAGATATGATATATGATATAATATGATATATGATAATTCTCATATATATATATATATACACATATATATATATATATACTGATTGGTGGTTTGGAACATTTTTTGACTTTCCATTCAGTTGGAAATGTCATCATCCCAACTGACGAACTCATATTTTTCAGAGATTGAAACCGCCAACCAGTATATATATATATACATATATATATATATATATACATCATGGCAGATATATCCAATTATCCAACTACAGCTAGGGGAGAACGGCAAAAACCAAGACACTGCTGACACGGCGAGTTTTCGCAGTGTCGCGTTGTGTCAGGCCGCAGGGATTTGTGACGACCTGGAAGAGTGCACGCACTTCTCCATCACAGTCACATGGCGAGAACAGCTGCAGAAACAGCCTGTCTTTTGCCACATCTTTTTGGCAAAGAAATTGTCCTTGAACTCAGCAAGGTGAATTGATTTGACATTATTTAACCAAGCAAAATGGGGATTTAAGAATTTAAGCAACCACAATAAATGGATTTTATACATAAAACATCATAAAACAACTTTACTGCAATGTCACTGAAGTGATGGTGAATGTAGGGGTTAATTTTGATTGGTTGCATTGTTCATGGAACTGCTACAAGTCTAGATTCTTTGTTGCTGGTGCTTAGTAGGGAATGGGGGAATGGGATGATTGGTGATAGTCATGGATTGGACCATTCCTCCATTCCATTAAAAATTACTCAACAATTTCAACAGCTGAGGTGGGTCCCGAATACCCCAGCACTGACGATTGGGCCACAGGACAACGCGGACACCGCGGGACCGGAAATGGTTAACATTTAAGAATTGTAGCCAGGATGAATAGAATATCCCCACCTTATAATGTTAACCCTAATCCCCTGATTAACAGGGGTTGCACCACTTTCAATAGTGATTTCGAACACAGGGTTTGACATGGAAGAGGTGTGGTGGCGGCATTGAGCGATAGAAGATGCCACTTCGTGCGTAACTAGGGTTATAACCCGCATATAAAATATAAATGGGACAACCCCAGGTAGTGAACTTGGTAGTAGGTGAATCCCCCCAACTACATCATCTTGACATGTGCTTGGGAAACGCACGAGAAGGTACGTGGCCATAGCCATTCAGTCATTGATAGACACATGACGACATTGCCAGTAAAAAATCGATCCGGTCATCAAACATACAGGAATACAATGGGTTGTAATTGGGATGTGTATATACTATATATATATATATATACACGGTGAACCAGCAACCATTGTTATTCCGGTAAATCTAAAAAGTTGGGTATTATAGCCCTGTGAATCAAATGCTGGGTCTATTTGCTGACATTTGCGGTAAACCTTGTTTTTTGACGTCCGTATGAATTATTTGACGTCCGTAGTCAAAAATTGGCAACATTTGCGGGAACCATAATTTTACCGTAAAATGCGGTGAGCACGAGCGAAGAGTAACAGGGGCTGATATAAGATGAGGGGTCAATCCTGAAGAGATCACGGTTCATCACGTTTTGTCACGGTATTTTCGACAAATGTCATAATTTTAAGTGGCAAAAAGATGATTCGTCACGATTTGTCACGATTTTGAACTACATATGGCCATGATCAACTCGCATGCGCATCTTCGAAACATTTCGAAACAAAGGATGTCTGCGTTTTTCATCAATTTCCGACAAAATCTGGTGGATGATTTCCGACAGATTCCGACAAATGTCAACAAAATAAAGCGTTAACGTAGATGTAGCCGTATTTTGACTACATTGCTATTTTTGATCTATATGCCGACATCGATTCTCAGGGTAGTATTACACCCTTTTACAAGATGCAATTTGAACATGGAATGCTGGGATTCTCCCAACATGCCGAATCTTGCGTAGCAAAGCCATGTCTTGACCCAACCGGCGAGCGAAAAAAGTCTCGCCATAGGAGTCCCATATCGAGCTGAGTTCTGCCGTGGTCCTATGGTAACCATACTGGATGATACCAACAGCCACTCCTTTGTCGGCATCAAAAAGACCTGGGTCAGGCGACTGATCCCCCAACAGGATTACGTAATATTACGTATACCCTCTGGTAATTGAACATAGCTACAAGGTAATGCCTAAAAAAGAGAGCTAAGTTGGTTTACAGCCCCATTCACTATAGATAGATTGATCTACCATAAGTCCTAGTTATTGGAGTTATAAGTTTGAGTTATAAGCCAACTTAGCTATCTTCGGGGGCACCACATAGCGAAACCACCATCTTTAATGATTACTGTGGATGGTTGCGAAATCCTGCACCAGTTGTCAACTATTGGTAACTGTCAAACATTGTAAATCATGGGATTCTAATGAGACAAACCATCTACCCTGCCTGCAGGATTTCGCTGGCCCATCCACAGTAGGTGAATCATCCATAAACGGCCCATGATGCACCTTGATTAGGTGAAGCCCCATTGTTAAATAAATATATATATATATATACACATATTGTGCCTCGCATCTTCGCAGCGTCGCAGCGTCGGAGAGGTTTCGACCCCACCTGGCGGACACACACTTGCTCAGAAACACTATAACATTCATTGGGGTTACAACTCAACTTATATCTGGCTTGGGTGCACTTAAACATTGTGCTACTAGGTCGTTTGATTGGAAACTATGGGAGGGTGAAAACCTTAGGATTTTTCCATAGGAAAATGGAGGTTTACACTCTGATAAACTGTTACATAACTCTGGAAAATCAGAAATGTCAATCGGTAAATCATCTATAAACCATTTTCAATAGCCATGTTAAATTACCGGAGAGTTTTGCATCTTTTGGAGGAATAAACATCCATTAACCAGCTATTATAGGGTATCGGGCACCAGGGTTTTAACTCACAGCCATATTGGGTAACTATGAAACACTTTGAATAGTGCGATTATAGTGGGACAAACCATCTACCAATCTACCAACTGGTGCAGGATTTCGCCACCATCCACGGTATCATTGTCACACATGTTGGCACACTGCAAGAACCATCGTGTTCGGCCACTTTGTTTTCCCCTCTCTGTACTTGATTCATGTTGTTGTCAACTGACAGTTGGTGTAATTGCTTTTCACAATTATCAAATATGAGGCTGAATATAATATTTATAATGTCTACATACATTATATACAAACATATGTTCATCTATAATATCTCCACATATATGGTCTACCATAAAAAAAAAAACACGCTTATGACAACTATGACATAGACATGATATATCCGATATGCTCCATGTATGGTATATTTACCTACATTTGGGTGATGTTTAGGACACATGTTGGTAAATATACCATACATGGAGCATGTGGGTATGGGGTGTACATAAGTAGCATCTGCCCGTGCAGGGACCATGACGTACCGCCCCCCAAGATGATCCCGCGCATTCCGTTGCCGGATCAGCCCTTGGAAGCCTATGGCCGCGATGCGGGTCCCTGGGCGATGCAGGGGCTCGGGTAGATCAGTTGATTTAGAACCAATATTTTACCTGGGTTTATTAGAATATTATAGATATATCTATAGATATATCTTTAGATATCAGTTGATTTAGAATATTATAGATACATCTATGGATATCTGTTGATAAATGTTCAGCATTAGGGTTTATGGTAGCATTCTCTTGTGCCTTGTTGTTTGAACTCATCAGAATTTCTTGGGGGAATAGGCCCATCCATTCTGATCCGCAGAACCCCCAATTGCGCGGCCAGTACGAGAATTATTTGTTGATGACATCCCCATGACATGTTTTGTCGCATTTTTGTTGAGCAAAAAAACATGTTGGCTGAATTCTACAAGGTGGACAGCCTATGGCAACTATATGGATATCTAAAGATATATCTATAGATATATATATATATATCTATAATAGTCTATCATAAACTCTAGTGACATATTGATTATAAACTAACTTAGTTACCATAAGCCCTGGTGATGGTAATGATTATCATTGTTTATATAGCAGTGGGACATACATACATACACACATATATTACATGGGATAATTTTATTTGCACAATGGGAAGTATAGATGTGGCAGTATCTATTTATCTGATTGGTGGTTTGGAACATTTTTATTTTCCATTTCATATATGGGATGTCATCCTTCCCATTGACTCAATTTTTTCAAGATGGGCACATTGCACCACCAACCAGAAGGGTGTGGTATAATTGTGGAGCTATAAACACTCAGCAGCTCGCAGTGTTTCCGGCGCTTTGATATGGCTGGCCAACTTTCAAGGATACTATCGCTCCATGCGCGCAAATATGAAGAAGTTGGAAGAGCCAGGGCCGCAACAAATTGGGTTCACGGCGCGACGGCTTCACTTTTGATGATTTTACACACGTAATTCACTCACACTCCAGTATTTTTTCAGAGTTTTCTCTGGAAAAAAGCCCACTGGTAGATGATTGACGTATTCAAAATGTTGATGTTCTATTGCAAGCTGTTAAATTGCCAGATACTATGATAATTTTGTATACATGTCATGAAACATGATGACAATTATTTTGGTCGTGATTGTTGTATGTTTTTTGTTGTTGATATCATAATACGTAGACAATTATCATGGATATATATATATTTACACACTATATCACAGTAACGGAGTGCATCCTGGATATTGTATGTGGACCAGGTCACATGAAATATAAAATTCCGAAGGAGGGCGCCAAAAGGGAGCTGAAACCAGTTGAAACAATTTACTCAAGGACGGTGTGGGTTTGGACATGTTTGGACACTTCATGTGCCCAACAAATGCCTTAAATGTATATATATATATACATGTATATATATGTATGTATGTATGTATGTATGTATGTATGTATGTATGTATGTATGTATGTCTATTTATCGGAGGATTGATCAACACCCATAACTTTTATATTTGGAGGATGAACATCCGTTTAGCAGCTAGTTTGGTGTGAACAGAAAGGGGCCCCAGAGTTTTGTTCCACAGCCATATGAAAAGCACTCCAGGCGAAAGGGTGACGACCTAGGTTATTTTTAGGCACTACTTGCAGGTGTAGTTAGTTTGCTGTTTTTTCTTTTTTTGTTCGATGGGTGGAGTCATGGTAATAACATTAAAAAAACACCATAGCTTCGGATATGACCTCAATAAAGGCCATATATCATATAATTACTGTACACATATGAAGTTCCACTGCCAAGTATAGAGTCAATCCCATCTCTTCGGTCTCAGGAAGCCAAAAAGCTGGATCGTTTGCAAAGTGAAGCGAACCAACTGACGGCCATCCAAAAGAAGGAGCAAGCGGAGGTGCTTCTGCGGGACGCCCAGTCACAAACTGTTGGTGTTTTTTTAGATTTTTTAGCTATTAGCTATATATATATATATATTACATATACTACATATATTACAGATATACATATATATATATATACATATTACAATATTATATATATATATATGTGTATTACATTTAAATATATTACATATATTACATATATGTAATATATTACATATATGTAATATATTACAAATATTACATATATTACATATATTTCATATATTACATATATTATTTATATTACATATATATATTATATTATATATATATATATATTTATATATTACATATATATATATATTATATTATATATATTACATATATATATATATTACAGGGAATTTAGACCACTTGATTGGTTGGGGATTCTTTTTTTTAGCCATCATGGGGGGGGTATCTATTCATGGCTAACGGCAGGGCCTCGTTTCATGAATCCAGGGACGAACAATGACTGCCTTGCCATTGTTTTTGTTGGTCCGTAGCTTTTCATTATCCCAACTTGGAGGTTTACCAAGTTGGATATATATATATATATATATATATACATATATATATACAATCAATAATTGTCCCATGATTGAAGGTTGAATTTATTAAACCACCATTCTTATTGGTTATAGCCCGGGTCCTATCCTCGTTGATTTCCCCAGGGTGTCAAAGCTCAACTGAAGTCAATGGAGCAACTGGCGCCGCTGATTGGACCGGCGCCTTTTGAAGTTAGTCGACAGCGCAGGGCAGACTTCTTGTAACTGGTGACGACCCAGCCTCCGGCGATGTTTTGTTCTGTTTGAACCATTGGTTCTGGAAACAAGTCTGTTGAAACATCTTGAAATTCAAGGAATCATATGATTTTCTGAAGTCCTGGAGGTTAGAGTTGGTGTATTGTTTTTCATCCTGAGGGCAACGTTCGCACCTTGCGGTGCGACAGCCGAACTTCAGCCCATCCAAAGAAGATGGTTACTGAGTCAATCCGAAAAATCTGTTGGATTTGTCTCCCATAATGTCAGCCCTGTTGCTAAAGTCCCAGGTAAAATTGATAGGTCAAGTTCAACACCCTTGAAACGATTGGGAGGTAACCTTCCAATTCATAGTCAAGCTTTGTTAATCCTGGGTTGAGAGTAAACCACGAAAAACGTTGTTTGATGCAAGGCTTCTTTGTGGCCGCCGAGATGAAAAAAACATGTTGTCTACAAACACCAGGACATTGCCACATATTGATGACCTGATTGTTGGATGTTTGTCAAATTTCAACCGACAGACCAGTTTTTGTTGCACCTTCGTCAATTTGTTGGGCACACCACGCGGTATTCCATGATTATCATTGATTATCATTATATATTTATCCCATGATTGAAGGTCAAACCACCATGTTTATTGGTGAACCCAGTTGAAGGTTTAACCCATTATTGAAAGTTAAGTTCCACCATGTTTATCAGGCAATCAACGGTCATAAACCACCATGTTAATGATCCTGTTGGTTGTCCTGCCAACCTGCATCCATTTAAGCAGGGTTAACTGCTGTCCAGCTGTCAGCAGTTCCCAGGACTGGACCTTTTTGGAGCGACGAGCCATGGGCAATGCGTCCAAACTCATTGCAAGCCTGGAAGACCTAGCGGGACCTAGCGGGGCCGGGGAGATCCGAAAATGTTACAATGTTTAAGTTACAAGAATGGGATATATAATGGGGCATGTATATACATGTATATATATATAATGGATATGTATATATATATATATATATATATATACGTATATGATGGGACATCTAAGGGTATCCGTTTATATGCAAGGTGAGGCCGCCAAGTGCATGTTTGTTGGTTTATAAGCCCATTAACTTTATCGTTGATAGATCCCTAATTAATCCAAGTTCGTTAAGCAAGTTGTCAACTTAGCACTTTTGGGGGACCTCACCTCGTAGAATGTCAAAGAATCAATGGAAGCAGGTTTGTCATAGCCGGTCTGTTGTAGGTGGTTTCAAATTGACCAAAGTCTAGGCATTTTTGGAGCTGCTTCCTTGCTGTCTCAACTTTGCCAACTTCGGAATTTTGAATCATCAGAAACTCAAGCTGCAACCTGAAACATTCTGGTATCTTAGATAGATGATCAGAGGTTCACACGAGTTGCATAGAGTTCCAACTTGTTTCAACAGCTTCCAGTTCAAACACGCTGTTTCTGGTTCCAAGCATCACAGTTTTCGTGCTACAGATGCATTCGTCAGGCATGGATGGTGTGCTCACCACCGACACCGGCGGCTGCCAAACTGGTTGGGGCACCCGATCAGCAGAGTTGGGCTCTACGGAAGATGTGCCATTCAGTTCCATGGTTTACCCACGGAACATCACCATTAAAAGGTAAATCTACAATTGGGACATTTTCCATAGCGAACTGTTAGTTTACCAGAGGGTAGCTCTTTATTAAACAAACATGGTGTTCTTCCATAATTAGCAAATTGTTAAAGTCTTGGAGGCTACAAAAAGGTCAACTCCTCTTTTTTGTTGTCAGTCTCTCTGCAATGAACCGAACGGTGCTGGTATCATTTGGCTATGTTTTACATTGACCGGGGGCTTTGCCGGGCATGTTTGGTTTCCAATAGCAAACAGTGAGAACACACCAAGAGCTTCAAAAAAATCATTGTCCACAGTCCACTGAATCAAATTCCTCGGGACTCCATGCCCTTGGATCCCTTGGCAAATTTGTTCCAAAATGAGGCTTTCCCATGTTTTCCCCACATCCAATCATTAATACTCATTTTCCCCATGAAAATTGCGATTCTGATTTTTTTTGGGGACCAAGGCTTTCGGTCCCAGTTGTTTTTGTTGGCAAAAAAAACGGTTTTGATCCAAACTGGTCAAACTTCGAGGTGTGGTGTAAGTATGGTTTTACATGGTCTAGCCAAGTTGCATTACCAATTCGATATCAGCATGTATTGTTTTTATGTATATATATATATACATGTATATTTACAGTTACATATATATATATGTGTATGTATATATATATATATACGTATATACATATATATATATATATACATATTGGATGTAGTTGGAATGCGCTTCAAATCAGTCAACCATACAAACCGCAAATATTTGGTTGGCATTCAATCATTCAACAAACCAGTCGGTATTCCCTACCATAGAAACCATATCTCTTAATAAACCAACCATATCATGGAACCAAAATATATGGTATTATCATTATTATTATTGCTGTACCCTTATTTTCATGAATCCTGTTTTTTTTACACATCTTTACTATGTTTACCAATTATGACTATAAAGATATGTATATCTATATACAATCGCTATAATATCAATCATCGGTATATGTATATTATTATCCATCATTATATAATCATTATATATATTTTGTATTTGCTATGTATTTACTATGTGTATTCATCATTATAGTCTCAATTTATATATGAATTTGTTTTAGAATCACTCTGACAGCACCAGGCGGTGACCTCCCTGCAACAATGGATCTATATACATATTGTGGTTTGATGGGGGTATCAGAGATTTCATGGGGATATCATGGGTGTATATATATATAATAATATCTATATATATATATATATAATATTATTACATAATGTATATATATATATGTATAGAATCCAAGCCCCAGTCATAGATGCCGACGAGTCGGAAAGCTCGAAATTGTTGAGGAAGCATCTTTTTTGGTGGGATATATATATATATATATATGGTGCAAAAGGTTGAATATGGGAATATATGGATTATTTAGGGATATCAAATGATGTCAATATGATATAATATGGCAATACCATGGGATTTATGTGTATATATATATATATATATTTAGACATAGCAAGCCCCCAAAAAGATAGAGAAGCTAATGAATAATGAAGACTTGAAAAGCTAGAAATTATTATGGGATAAATAGATGTTGCAAAAGGTTGGGTATGGTGATTTTACTTCTGATGATTTTCGGGGTATGACCGGATGTAATGGGATTGTGGATATCATAGGATAATATAACATGGTTTGCCATTGGGTTTTAATCAACGTTAATGGACGGCTGTTGGATTTATCATGTGCCGATTTAACCATACAAAACCATAGTCCTTGCAGGCCAGGGTGTTGAGCAGCATGTGATCCACATTTCGTTTTCCCCTGTCAAACCATAGTATATACTATTCTTGTTTTGGCTGCTGCTGTATTGTTTACTGTGAATGATTCCCACTCAGTTTAATCAATCAATATTACATCACGGATGTCAATGTGATTTGTAACAGAAACTGTGTATATATATATGATACTATATATAAGAACACATATCCCATGATACTATATATTAATTTATCATGAATCTGGGTATGACCAAACATATCGAGGACATCACCAACGGGACTTTGCACTTTGTCGCGTTAAGACCTCACCTCAAAGTGATGGTTGATCTACCGGTAAGTTGCGTCACAGCCCACCGAAACCACATAGATTTATCATGCTATCCAAACGTTATTCATTCATAAGCTTTCACAAACTACATGGCATCACCTTGTATGAGACATTACGATTATGATACAATATATTTGGGCAGATGGACATCCATAGGGTACCATGATTTGGAGGCATATCCATATTAATCCAGACATAGTCGCTGTGGTAGACTAGTTGCTGGACAGTTTCTTTACTGGCAAAGTTACTGAATCATGTTTAATAACAAATCTAAATGATCAGAGATATTAAATCAATATCTCTGATGATTTAGATTTGCGTTTTTCTTGAATGTTCCCAATGGGGAATCCACTTCTTCGGGAATCGATTAAGGGAATACTTTTTCGTTTCTTGGAATGGGTTCAAAATGGTTTAAACCACCTGTTTAGATTCAGAAAGTCCATGTCACAGTTTTCATATCATGTCACAGTTAATAGTGCCCCGCAAAAAGATTCAGAGCAGTGATTTGAGGGTGTCCATAAATTGGGGATACCCAATTTTTGTATGGTTTATAAGGGAAAATCTTATAAACATGGATGATTTAGGGGTACACCCATTTTAGGAAACCTCCATTTGAGCCACGTTCCAAACCCTTGTGTTCATGTTAAGCAAGGGGCCCCTTGTAAGGGTTTGGCGTAAGCAAAACTGTGGTGCGCGTAAGCCAGCGTAAGCTCCGGGTAAGAAAAGATATGCGCGTAAGCAAAACCTGTGCGCGCGTAAGCAAAACGTAAGCAATGGCGTAAGCATTTCCTTATTTGGTGCCAGGATGTAAGACATTTAGAGCATGGCTCATTTATCAATATTTTACATTGATTTTGACTCTCCAACTTTTTTCTTGGGGTTGCTATCTATATATACCTTGGAACTCGGTAACCTGCAAAAATTGTAGCGTGGCAATCTTAGGGTTTTCAGAACAGACCCAGCGTTTCAAAATTAATTTTTAATCATTATAACCATACATTTGTCCATTATACAATTATACATATATATATATATACATATGTATTTATATATATATATATATTTCCATTATATATATTTATACATATATATATATACATATATCATCTGGTTGGTGGTTTGGAACATTTGTTATTTTCCCATATATCGGGAATGTCATCATCCCAACTGACTAACTCATTTTTTTTAGAGGGGTAGGTATACCACCAGCCAGATATCATCTTTGTTGTGGATTTGTAGGGAATTTCTTAGACATGCGCTGACCATATGGATTTGCCCCTTCCAGTGGACGAAAACTCTCCGCCAGGTGGCGATGCCGCGATGTCGTCAATGAGGGGTGCCGAACCTGGCGTTGTTGTTTTAGTGGTTAATAGTGGTTCTTAGTGGCATATAAACCCAATATAATCTGGGTAAATTATAACGACCTCACTGCGACCTCACTGGGAATAATGGTTAGTAAGGAAAATCATCCCCAAATGGCCGAACTATTCGGGTTAGTGAAATATTATAATTTACCCAGATATAATGTGGGTACTTAAAGCAAGAATAAAATGGTTTTATGGTACATAGCATATAGACAATAACTCTAATAAACATTAAATATAAAATCACAAACGATAAGATATCATATAAGCCAGAGTTTATAACTTCAAGAACTAGGGTTTATGGTACATAAAATGATGGAATCATAAGTTATCAATATAAATAGAATGCTGGTATACATACATATACCCTCTGGTAAAATTTTCACATAGACCGTGAGAATAACCCATTTCTAGTGGAAACTAATTTTCCAACCCCTATCTGCCAGGACCTGTGTTAATTTACTGGAAGGTAATATATATATATATATGTGATCAATTTTGGTATATAGTATACTGTACTAGTTCATAGCTATGGCCACTATGACCATATCATGACTGAATAACTAATGATATCTTAATCTGATTGGTAGTTTGGAACATTTTTTTCCATTCAGTTGGGAATTTCATCATCCCAACTGACGAACTCATATTTTCAGAGGGACATGTCAACCACCAACCAGTAATGACATCAATGATGAACATTTGGAGGTTTCTCAAGTCATGTGGTTGGTCAAGTTCACCGATATGGGATCAACGGACCACAATGGTATCTATAACTGGATGTAGTATATAGACTGGAGGTTTATATATATATATACATATAAACATAAGTTGTGTATGTGACAAAATGATGTGTATAAATTCAGATATGAATATTTATTTACCGTATCTATCTGTCTATCAACCTACCAATAATCAATATATATGGGGGGTTCTTAAGTCATGTCATGTGGGATCCCCAAGTCACCATGGGTTTCAATAAATGGTCTAATGATTCTGGGGTACCGCCCATGAATTAGGAGACCTCCATATACTAAGATTGGATTTGTATCACATGTTTTTTTTCTGATTTCTGATCATATACGTGTACTGCGTTGGTTTTGGGCGATGTGTTTTCTCTTGAACATGCTTGTCACAGCATATTTAAGGACTTCCTATTATACATATATACAATATATGTATATATATATATATATTATACATATATCTGGGTAAATTATAACGATCTCACTGCGACCTCACTATAATCATAGTTAGTAAGGGGAATCATCCCAAAATGGCCGCAAGATTCAGGTTAGTGAAATATTATGTCATTTACCCAGATATATATTATGCATATTCAGCCTGGAGTCTTGGAGTCCATTGGTCTAGTTTTGCTCCCCAGACGAAGACGACTCCGTCGGCGCCAGCCTTTTTTTACGCTCTGCCGGCCGGCGGACTCAAAGAAACACAACAGGAATAGCAAGGTGGTAATGGTTGATTTCTTGTTTGATAATGGTTAATGATGGTTAATGATGGTTAATGATGGTTAATGATGGTTAATCATGGTTAATCATGGTTAATCATGGTTAATCATGGTTAATCATGGTTAATCATGGTTAATCATGGTTAATCATGGTTAATGATTGTTAATCATGGTTAATGATGGTTAATGATGGTTAATGATGGTTAATGATGGTTAATGATGGTTAATCATGGTTAATCATGGTTAATCATGGTTAATCATGGTTAATGATGGTTAATCATGGTTAATCATTAATAATCATGGTTAATGATGGTTAATGATGGTTAATGATGGTTAATCATGGTTAATCATGGTTAATCATGGTTAATCATGGTTAATGATGGTTAATGATGGTTAATGATGGTTAATCATGGTTAATCATGGTTAATCATGGTTAATCATGGTTAAACATGGTTAATGATGGTTAATGATGGTTAATGATGGTTAATGATGGTTAATCATGGTTACTGATGGTTAATGATGGTTAATGATGGTTAATGATGGTTAATGATGGTTAATGATGGTTAATGATGGTTAATGATGGTTAATGATGGTTAATCATGGTTAATGATGGTTACTCATGTTTAATCATGGTTAATGATGGTTAATGATGGTTAATGATGGTTAATCATGGTTAATCATGGTTAATCATGGTTAATCATGGTTATCATGGTTAATGATGGTTAATGATGGTTAATGATGATTAATGATGGTTAATGATGATTAATGATGGTTAATGATGGTTAATGATGATTAATGATGGTTAATGATGGTTAATGATGGTTAATGATGGTTAATCATGGTTAATCATGGTTAATCATGGTTAATGATGGTTAATGATGGTTAATGATGGTTAATGATGGTTAATGATGGTTAATGATGGTTCATGATGGTTCATGATGGTTAATGATGTTAATGATGGTTAATGGTGGTTAATGATGGTTAATGATGGTTAATGATGGTTAATGATGGTTAATGATGGTTAATGATGGTTAATGATGGTTAATGATGTTTAATGATGGTTAATCATGTTTAATGATGGTTAATGATGGTTAATGATGGTTAATCATGGTTAATCATGGTTAATCATTGTTAATCATGGTTAATCATGGTTAATGATGGTTAATGATGGTTAATCATGGTTAATCATGGTTAATGATGGTTAATCATTTAATGATGGTTAATGATGGTTAATGTAGTTAATGATGGTTAATGATGGTTAATGATGGTTAATGATGGTTAATGATGGTTAATGATGGTTAATGATGGTTAATGATGGTTAATGCTGGTTAATTATGGTTAATCCTGGTAATGGTTAACCCTTTTAATGGTGAATGGTAATGGTTAATAATTGTTAATTGTGCTTAAGGCGCAATGGTAACGGCTAATAATGATTGATAGTGCTTAATGGTAATGCTAATAATGGTTAATTGTGCTTAGTGGTAACGGTTAATGGTTAACGGTTAAATTTAGATAATTGTGTTTTATACCTATTATAGTAATTAAACATTAACCATCTTGGGGGTTTGGTAATGTTACCATTTACCATGGACCATTAACCAAACAAAAACACAGCAGGAATAACCAACAACATTTTGGTAATAACAATAGTTTGCGGGGAGGTGATTAATATTACGGGGAAGACATTAATGAGATATCAATGGAATGCTATAATATTTAACAGAAATCACGAATAACAGTGAACCCATTTCATTCTCGGAAACTTATTTGGTTTAAATGTGTCAGTAAAACTGAACAGGAATTCCCCTAGAGTTCAGGGCACTGGCAAAGACCCACGGCCGCGACCATGGCAACCAAGCGCAGACGGATCCGCCTGGATTTGGGGTCCCAGTTCCAGTTGCAATGCCCGTGTTGCTACCGCCCGGGTGTTCCCTTTTGCGAAGCTTGGCAGCAAACGGTTTCGTCATCAGTAATGGATTTGAAGAAAGGGATGGAAGCGGAGACTTGCTATTTATATAATTATCATTAAGTATTATCAGTATATTCTGGTTGGTGGTTTGGAACATTTTTTATTTTTCCATGCAGTTGGGAATTTCATCATCCCAACTGACGAACTCATATTTTCAGAGGGGTGGCTCAACCACCAACCAGTAATGACATCCATGATGAACATATGGGGGTTTCTCAAGTCATGGGGTTGGTCAAGTTCACCATTATGGGATCAACGAACCACTATAAATACCTATAACTGGATTTAGTAGTCTATAACTGGAGGTTATATACAAACATAAGTTGCGTATGACAAAATGATGTGTATAAACTCAGATATGAATATTTATTTACTGTATCTATCTGTCTATCAACCTACCAATAATCAATACTTGCACACATATAATTATATATATATATATATGGGGGGTTCTTAAGTCATGTCATGTGGGATCCCCAAGTCACCATGGGTTTCAATAAATGGTCTAATGATTCTGGGGTACCATATGTCATTGTAATTATCATTACTTGGGACGGATTTCTCTTCCCAGCTGAGTCTCGTTTTTCTTGGGACGAGTCTCGTTTCGCTGCAGCCTGGGACCCGTTTGCGGTGCCCAACAAGTCATAGCTGCTCAATGGATGTTTATTCCCCCAACATATGGGAACAATAGGTGTTGACCCGCCCCCATAATACGTGTATATATATATACACATATATATATATATTGGTTTTACAAGTTGATGACTTTTACATCCGTACTTGAGAAAATATAGATATGTTGCCCGTCAAATGTAGATACGCAGGTAGCCTTTTGTACTGGATAATAGATAGATAGATAGATAGATAGATAGATAGATAGAGAGGTTTCCTAAAATGGGGGTAGCTCCAGTAATCATCCATTGTTGTTCAGGTTTTTCCATGAAATAAACATAAATAAACCATCCCATCTATTTTGTGGATCCAGCATCACTATGGAACCCCCCTGGCGGCATTTTGTTGGGGATCTTGTCATTGATCCCCCGGTTCGAGCAGCGACCAAGGATAGCTGCGACCCTGAGAGCAGCGCGCAACGCTTGCAAGGTTTGAGAGCCTTGATGAAGGTACATCAGTTGGATGCCTATCTGGTTACCAGCCAGGAGATCTGATGACATCTGATGAAGGCGAAAAAAAAGGTGAACATGGCACCAGATGTGTTCTAAGATGTTTTTGTTCCCGATTTTATGGTGAAGTTCTGGTGTATTTCTATGCTACATGCTACAGAATTTCAGAAACATCATGCACTTTTTTTCGCATGTTTTACACCTAGATTCTGGCTCGCCAGTCGACTGGACGGTCCATGTGAAAATTCTGGCAGGGCCGAGTAGCAGGGATTCGACCAGGTCGCTGGTAACACTCAGAAAAGAAGTGGTATATACAAGGTGGTGCCCCCCAAACGTTATAATTTGGTTTATAAACCCCATTAACTATAGATATATCACTGTCACCTATAAACCATAGTTATTGGAATTATAAACCAACTTAGCTATCGAACGGGGGCACAACGTTTTGGCAGTCTCAGTATGAACATTATGACATAATGAAAGGTCTCAGTATGTGATGCGAGATTCCATCCGATTCCATTGATTCTATTGCTGGCCAAGCATGACTTCACCAATCTCCTCAATGTCCCTCGACCGGAGGACGCTCATAGTTCAGAATATGTTTGCAGCGCCGATGAACGGAGGAGTTTTCTGACTGGTTTCTCTGGGAGTGCAGGTAGTGCTTTGGTCACAGCTGAACAGGCACACATTGCACGCAGGGAAGGCTGAGAACTCACGTTGAACCCGGGAGAAACGTGGAATAACGTGGCATAACGTGGTAAACCCAATAATCAACAATCCCATCAACTACACATTTGGGGGTCATTAACTGAAATCATCTCATCGCGAACGGGGTATACCATGGTATACCAATTTTTATGAACCTCTATCGGGGATAGTTTGTTATTGGGTTTACCACATTAATACATCCAGAATTTTGCAATTTTATGGGTGGTACTTGGCAAAACCATCAACATCTGGGTCCTTTATTATTGCTTTGCCATTAATGTGTTTGGCTTGGAAAGGCACGGAATCATTTTCTTGATCCTTCGGGCCATGTCAAAGAGTCAACCATCGATTTTTCAACAAATTTCAGGAGTTAAACGGCATGCACTAGTCACTAGTGACATGGCTGTCCCAACCTACATCAATCCAGATCGATCCACGCCAATCTACATCGATCCTCTACATCTATATTGCAGTAGAAAAGCAGTACATCTCTATTGCATTCATATCAATCTACATTCGAATCTACATCACCAGGTGTTCCCCCCGAGCTACAAATGACTTGGCTAAACCCCTATTTTCCAAAAAAAGCTTTCTCCCACAAAGCCACCAGGTGAAATCCTATACAAGATGGGGCCCCCAGTCGAGCGATGGCGTTCAGTTGGTTAAAAAAAAGTGGTTGAATTTGATTGGGTTTATGGTAGATATAACGAACTAGTTTTCATGGGGATTAATTCATGGTTTATAAACCAACAAACACTGATTGGTGGTTTGGAACTATGGTTTTTGTTGGTGATATAGTGATATATCTATAGTATTCATGGGGTTTATAAACCAACAAACACATCACTGGGGGGGCAAAAAATCCTGTGTGATGGTTGGTGAAATCCCAGTAAACTGGGTCCACGGAGGCCATGGAACGGGAAACTGTTTCCAGGCGCTGCTGTGGACCGACAGCCGCTATTTTCTGCAAGCCGAAAAGCAGCTGCAAGGCACTGAGTGGCTGCTGATGCGCCAGTGCCCTGCAGAGGATGATGTGTAGAATGATGTGTTTTGTAGCTGAAAATAAGGAGGGAACCAGCCCAACAATAGGGATCGTTTATGGATGATGTATGGGAGAATCGAGTCATGAACTGATACTAAATGATTGGGGATTATGATAAAACCATAGTAGGTAAACCTCGAAAAAACACGATAGCTTAAGATGGGACAGGGAGATTCAGTAGGGGGGATCGGATAGGGATGATCTATGGGATAATTGGGTTCTAAACCATTTGTTGGTCATGTTTTTTTCCTGAGAAATGATTTTCCAGGGAAAGACAGATATAACACCCCCAAAAAGCATGGATAGTAAAAGCATGCTTTCCCTGAAATAAGCGGAGTTACAATCCTCCGCAGTTTGAAGAGTTATTTCAGAAGGCATAGAAGACGTTGGCCTGCTACTGGGGGTGATGTTTTCTGGTTGGTGGTTTCAAACATTTTTTTTATTTTCATTTATTTTCCAGTTCATATATGGGATGTCATCCTTCCCATTGACGAACTCATTTTTTTAAGACGGGTAAAACCACCAACCAGATTATATGTACCAGTATTTGTACATATACCATCTGGTTATTTAACATCATAAAATGGAGGTTTTGATGGAACATTTTTTGTGGTACCAATGAGCGTGTCCCAGCCCAGATCGCAGCCGCAAGTTCCCGACTTTTCGGATTGGGCACTGGAGCATCTTGACGGGAATCTGTATCCAACCTCGGAGATATCAGCAATTGGTACCCTCTGGTTATGTCAACATAGCTATGGAAAATGGCCATAGAAATAGTGAGTTTTCCCATTAAAAAATGTGATTTTCCATAGTTTTTTGTATGTTTACCAGAGGGTAAACACTAAAGGGAAACGTCATCAACAAGCAATCATCTTGGATTTGACTGAAAAAGATGGTTTTATTCTGGATTTATGCAATTCCGGGAAAGATGCAAATCCAAACCTACCTTTGGACAACACCGTTTGGAGTTGTGGACTTTGTTTCAGAATCCTAATGGATGCAAACACTGTCTGAGAAGGTAAATCATACCACAATTTTTGTTCCTAAGAAGGTACGGCTGGATCCATAGGGAATATGGGCACAGTAATCTCAAATAGAATTTAGTGTAAGTTGTTGCGCAGTGGAGTGAAACCCTTGGGAAGTTGTTGCAGCTTGAAGCCGCAGTTGCAGGGGCAGTTGCAGCGCATTTTCAGCAGGGGGAGCTGTAGTCAAGACTGATCTGACACTGGGTAACTCTGAGTGCAAGACAGCTCTTGTAGCATTTAATGATTCATTAGATAAGATTAGCCACAATTTTAAGAGATTGCTTTAATCTATTACTTTCATGAATCACGCATCGTATTTCTTTAATCCATATGCTTCATGTATGGTAACAATTACCTACAAAACTGGGTGATTTTGTTCGGGCAAATGTTGGGATTCATATTCCAGCACCATGGTTCGCATATGGGTAATCTTTTTCAGAGGTATCCATATAGATTATACCATATGTAGGATTAGCATGTCATATAGATTAGCATATAGATTATCCATGATAATTACCTACATAGATTATCTGGTTGGTGGTTTCAAACATTTTTTATTTTCCATTTCATATATGGGATGTCATCCTTCCCATTGACGAACTCATATTTTTCAAGATGGTTATTGCACCACCAACCAGATTATATGTACCCGTATTTGTACATATACCATCTGGTTATTTAACATAGCTATGGAAAATCCATCATAAATGTAGGTTTGATGGGACATTTTTTTGGTACCTTGGAATGAGGGGTTGAAACCACCAACCAGATTACCTACATAGATTATCCATATGATTCTAATGATTAGCCCTACACGCAGCAACGTGGGTTGCGGTCTCTCTTTACAGGATTCATTTTTCAGCTGCGGCTGGCAGGCAGTTGCAGAGATGAATCCTGTGGAACTTGTAGCCTTTGTAGCCAGAACTTGGCATGTCTGGGCATATTAAAATATATATATATAGATGGTGAGATTGATTAGGGATGGATTCTGATTTGGTTTCACACATTGCAGCCATTGTGAATCATTGTGCTTTGTGATTCTATCTCCCAACTGTGTTGGCTGTGTTTCAGGTTCATTTCTGACTGGTTGACTGATAGAAGCTACCCTTCATTGAACATATTGAACCACGCACATCCAAATCAGTGCAAAATGGATTTGTCTGAAAATAGGGTATACCATGGTATACCAGTAAATTTACAAAACATGCAATGCAACTGGGAAACTCATAAACCATTATTCCCCACAAGATTTTGAGTGTACCAAAGTGGCTGTTTTTTGATTGGTCGCATTTTCAAACCCTAGAAATGGAACTATGATGCTAGCTGATTGTCGCACTCATTTTTTTCAATGGGTGGCTCAACCACCAACCAGTATGTATTTATCTATCCTAGTCTAATCTATATAACATTATATAACCAAATCAAATCATTCCAATTTAAATCTAAAGCAATCTAGTCTAATCTAATCAAATCTAATCAAATCGAATCGCTGCGGCGAGGCATTTGAAGGACAAGACCCTGGGCGTGGATCCCAGGTTTATCTCCTTTGAACAAGCAGAGGAATGGTCCGCCAAGTGGAACTCCGCCGTTCACTTGAAAGAGGCCCGGGATCTGCCTGGTTTCATCATACCGGTGATTTTACCTGCATGGAACTTGAAACAAGAGAAATCATGGTACAATAGGGTTATATAATATTAATGGAACATTGTCAATGTTCATTGTTATAGTATATAAAACTATATAATACTATAGTACTATCATTTTTGAGCCATATCTCAGTGAAACACCCACTTACCCACTTTCGACGACTTTTCCCCGGCGCAGATGAGGTGAGTTTGAATCTGGTGGATGCTATTTGGACCACGCGCCCGGAGGATGCTCAGATTTCCCGTTCCGAATTCTTTCCGAGTGCTTACCCGGCCTGGTAAACATACCCGGCCTGGAAAACCATAGGAAAATGGTGGTTTAATGGGATTTAATGGGATTTAATGGTGATTAATGGAGGTTTAACCTCTGGTAAACTGCTACATAACTATGGAAAATCACCATCTTTAATAGGTAAATCAACGAACTATAATGTGCCATGTTCAATAGCTATGTGAAAAATTACCGGAGGGTATCTCAAAAATCATATGTTGATGTCTTTAAAGGAAATTTTGGACTCTTTGTTTTTGCAGTTGGAAAAATCATTGTTTGAATCCAAGAATTTGACATTGGATCCCGTGGTTGCCTGAGGTTCACATGTGCTCACCAGTATTCAAACATCATCAGCGGATCTCAAGACATTCGTGGTTTTCGTGTTTCTTTTGTTACAAGGGATTTCGTAAAGCAATAAGATCCATCACCTCCAATTTGACCATTTCTAGGTGTGGTATAAACAATCAAAATATAGGTTGTGTCTGAAAATAGGGTACCCCCAATTATAGCCATTTAATAGGGAAACTGATCATTAACCATTGGGTTTAGGCACACAACATTTTCAGACAAACCCATATAGGTTGTTTATGACATTGCTTTAATAACACGAATCCTTTCTCCCTAATGCTAGTTTACTCCCCCCACCTTCCCCCCCTTCCTCAAATACAAAGACATAAAACCCTGAAATGTCCAAAAATCTCAAACTGGCCTAGTTTGTATGATTTAGAGGATGTTTACACATGCTCATAGCATCAAGCATTTGTTCCACTTGGACTGGCCTACGGTGCAAAACCTTTCGTGTTGTCTCAAAACTTTGAAGCCCATTCCATCCCATGGTGATGCGTTTCCGGGAAACACCTCAAATTCATGGTGATTTACTGGGCTTTCATGTATTCATAGGAAGACTAAGTAGCTAAGTTGGTCAACTTGAGCAGCTTAACCCAGTATTTCATGGCAGCGGGGCCCATCCCCATCTTGAGTGAAAAAATGGCTCGATTTATCCCCAACGGACTGTCTGTCCAAGCTCAATTTTAGAATCATCGAATCATCGTTTTCCCCGATTAAATCGTCTTAACTCCACGAAATTCTCAGTACACCTTCATTCGTCTTGCTTAAATCCCCATGTCAAAGCAAACTACTGGTACTGGTACTGTGGATGGTTGCGAAATCGGCAGATGGATTATCCCGTTCCTATGATTTACAGTGTTTCATAGGAATCCCAATACCCTCTGGTAAACTAACATAGCTATGGAAAAATCACTATTTTTAATGGGTAAATCCACTACTTATAAATGGTGATTTTCCATAGTTATGTTAGTTTACCAGAGGGTAGTTCCGGTGCATCCTTTGTTCGCTCAGGATCCCTGCAACGTCTTGGAGATTCATCCTCTGCATCTGGCGGGCGAAAGCGTGGACAGTAAGCTCCGCAGGGTCAGGGAAGCGATCCAGGAGCAGAAAGCGAGTTGCATCCTGTTGAGCCGAGGCAGAAGGTAGATGGGGGACTGGGGGACGAGCAACTACCTCTACAATGTGCCCCCCCCCAGTGATGTGAACGTTGGTTTAGATTCGCCCCAGAACTAGTTTGTTATTTGCGCACCATAAACCATAGTTATTGGAGTTATGTGTACCAACTTAGCTATCGAACGGGGGCCTCACATTGTATGTATAAATAATTTAGATAGAAATTGATATCATATTATCATATATTATCCCGAATTGTCATTTGACATGGCAATGGAAAATGCTTCATTGATGGATGGTTTACCTATATTTGCCTCTAAAAAAACTTTATTTATGATTGTGTTTTTCTTTGTATATATATATACCCTCTTGTTATTTAACGTAGCAAACTGAAAGATCACCATGTTTACTAGGTAAATCATCATAAATCATCTGTGCACGGGCCATTTTCCATGGCTATGTTAAGTAACCAGATTGTATATATATATATATAATGATTATGTGATGAGGTAGGTAGACAGATAGATAAAGGTCTGAGTTTATACACATCATTATGTATATACATACGTAACTTATATATATATATATGAATGATAATATATATATATACACATACATACATACATACATATACATGAAACTGATATAGTATTTGATCATATTTCCAGGCACTAATATTTTCCTTACAGCTGCTGCATGATAACCAAGAATCTTCAACACCCTTTTGTTTTTGTTTAATCAACCAAAGAAGGAGAGGTAGCCAGCCAGTGATGGATACAGCCTGGCTATATCACGACCTCATGATGGTGAATGGATTGGGGGAACTATCCCGATATTTATGGCCGAACTTTCCAAGGTTGGTGAAATACATATATTTCTCTAACATAACTATGGAAAATCACAATTTTTAATGGGTAAATCAATAGCTATGTTAAATTACCAGAGGGTATGTGTTCCACAAAGTGATGTGTTTGGGATCAAAACAAAAGTGCCCTTGAAACTGCATGGTGGGGAACTGAAGGTCCACCAAGGGTGCTTGATGTTTAGATGTGCGTAGCACATCTGAATGTTGAGCATGCAATCATTATCTTAAACATGTTCATGCAGTTATGTAAAAAAATATTGACATGCCTACGTAAATTGTAGTAGTTAAAAATTAATATATATATATATATATTTATACTGTATATATATATACTGCAATCCTGACCATGAATTCTTTCAACATCATCTATACACTAACACGGCTGGCAAAAGGCTAGGCATCGGGTGCATCAAGTCATGCCAACTAAGGAGCGCTCTCGATCAAATCGCATGGCTCTTTAATCTGCGAGGTGTCGCATGACATGGGTTGTGCTGCGACAAAACATGGGACATGTTCCAGCAAAAAATCAATTATAAATATATATATATATATATATTATGATATATTATGTATATCACCAGCAAACATACATTATTAAAAAAAAAACAATGATATGTGCATTTAAACAATTTTAAACATCCATGTTTGATAGTTTTAAACCGTGTTTCTTTTCGATTCAATGAGACAATGATCCCTTAAGTGACCCCTATAGTTTCGTGCGTTTTCACGACCATCTAGTTGTTGGCAAAGCAGACATGTGAAGTCTTCAGCATTGAATTAGCTTCTTGATTTCCTGATCAAACGCTGAAATCGTGCGGGGTCTTTGTGAATTGTATCATATTGTATATACTTATATACATATACATGTACATATATATATATATACATGTATGTAATTAGATTTACCTTCTGGTTATTTAACATAGCGATTGAACATGGCCCATAGAAATAGATGATTTATGATGATTTAGCTGTTTAAAAATGGTGATTTCCCACTTCGCTACGTTAAATAACCAGATGGTAACTATTTAAATATTGGGGATGGTCATAACTATTTCTATAATCCCTAATCCCTAAAAAAAAACATATTAGAGTAACCATTAGTATAACCCCGAATATTGTCCACTGTCACATATAAACTTGCTTCATCTTGTCCACAATATATGTTAGCCACTATCCCAATATATGTTTAACCACAGTAAATTTCTTCTCCACTGTCAGGTTCAGATACTATCAAGCATGGTTATATAGTCCATGTATCAACCTTGATTGACCATGGTTTATAGGGATATAAATTAGTATAGGTAAACCTATACTATTTTAATCAAGGTGGATTACCTATCTATGGATGGTTTACCATTTATATCGACAAATATATACCCTCTGGTAATTTAACATAGCTATTGAAAATGGCCATTTATAGTGAGTTTTCCCATTAAACATGGTGATTTTCCATAGTTATGTAGCAGTTTACCAGAGGGTAGGTAAACCATCCATAGCTCCTCGGCTCCAGGTTCAGATATTGAGTACAACCCTGTGTTCTTCGCCTATGCAGCGGTCTTTCAGGAGAAATATTTCCATTGTTAAAACAAGAAAAAACTGATTTTTAGTAGACATATAATACCCAACAAATCATCTTAGACAGACATGTATATATATAATTATATATATATACATATCATCCCCATGATCTACTTCCAAGATTCCAAGATTTTTCACAAAAAAAAAACAACAACAACAATATCCCATTGATTCGCGATTCGCATGGCTTGATCAACATCTTTTATCATCATATCTGTTGAAGCGCCGGTTCGCAAAGCAATGTGGTGCCATGCCAGTTATGAGTTTGTCAAACGCCATATGGGGTCGATATAATTCGATGATATCTTATATATATATGATATTATATGATTATATATGGATATCATCATATATCTACCATAATATATCCATAAGTCCTTCAGATTAGAGTTATGTTCACCAGGCGATTTTGCCTGGTGGATCACCGGGTGCACCGCTCCAGGATTCTGCCGTGCTTTTTCTCCGTGCCTTGGACGAGGGAAGGCCTGGCGTTTCCGAGGAGATCCGGACGCTTCTCAGCCAGGCGAAGGTGACGCTGAAGCCTTACAGCACGTGCCGAGGGAGCCGAGGGAAGTGGTGATTTTGGGCGGAGAAATCATGAGAAATTCCTACAAGATGGGGGTTTGAAGATAGCTAAGTTGGTTTATAAGTGGTTGAATTCTATGGTTTATGGTAAATATATCTATAGTTAATGGTGATTATAATGGTGATTATCAAAAATATCTGGTGATTATAATGGTGATATAATCTGGTTGATGATTGGGGATTATACAAGCCAATATTTTGGGGATTATAATCTCGTTGGTGGTTTCAAACATGAGTTTTATTTTCCATTTCATATATGGGAATGTCATCATCCCAACTGACTTTCACTCTATGATTTTTCAGAGGGGTAGGTCAACCACCAACCAGATGATATAATAACCATCATTAACCATATAATAACCATCATCATTATATAACCATATATTAACAGTATATTACCAACAAAACCGGTGATATTAACCATATAATAACCATCATTAACCAAATATAAATCCCATGAAACCCGGTGAAAAATCACCAACAACGCCCTGGTGATTTCACCGAGAAATTCATGGGGGATGTCGTTGGAAAAATCATGATGGAAATTCTGGCGTTGGAGACGGTGCTCCCTGGAGGGGTGGAGACTTTCCATGAAAAGTTGGGAATGGAATGTCATCATCCCAACTGACGAACTCAGTCCATGATTTTTCAGAGGGGTAGGGCGAAAAACCACCAACCAGTTGATCATCCATGATGATCTCAGGTCATGGTCAGTGGCGTCCGACTTGGATTCATTGGATCATTGGATTGCAAATCATGGAATGTCAATGAATGTCATATGCCACAGATGAGTACATTGTAAGTCTATGAATATCTATGAATTATATGTAATGAACTTTTTAGTATCTAGTTTGATCATATTTAGTTAATGTCAATGAGATCTCGGTCATAGAAGTGCGTTGGCTTCAGTTGGATCAAGTTGGATCCCAGGAAAATTTCAGAAGTTCGGTTTTAAAAAGAAGAAGACACATTTGGTAGTTGTGTAAACTGTCTGTTTGATTGTCAGGTTGTTTGGTTGTTTGGTTGTTTGTTTGCTTTTTTCAGTTTGTTTGTTTGTTTTCCCCTGGGGATTCTGCATGATGATGCTGTGTGTAATTATCCATCCTGATCCTGCCAATCTAGAATATAGGATTAAGAAGCACCAACTTAAGCTGAATAGAGCTGAATGATAGTTCTGCAACCTCCCCAATATGATTTCCCAGAATTGGTCAACAGGAACATCTACAGGTAAAGATCGTGGTTTCCGAAATGGATTCCTGTAGATGTTCCCCTTCTTGCAACCCCCTAAAAAGATAGAAAAGTCAACTCCTACCAAAATAGAAAAAAATGCTTTTTTTTTTGGCTCCTTAGATCAATCCATTGAATGATCCGAATTCTTTGTCCAATCTCCGCTAGCATCGCAGGTTCTTCTCCGAGATGGGAGCAGTATTGAAACCCGATGAGAAGGTCTTTCTGGAGGCGATGGGTTCAACACCAGACTGGAGTTGTCATAGCCAGATGCCCTATATGTCGTATGTTTGCAACAAAATACAAGAAATGGCTTAAATGTTGGATCATGTAGGTATTTGTTTGAATATAGCTAGCTTGCCACACATGGATTATCTTGGATTGAATGAGGGGTTACTGTCCAAAAACGAATACTATTTTGATACAAGAATCCATTTCTGGGGGGTTGAGTCCATGCCCGTGTGTTTGAACCTCGGACTTGAATGATTCGCAGACTTGTTTGTTCCGATTGTAAAAGGGAACATGATCATGCAAGGTGGTGCCCCCCAAACGTTATAAATTGGTTTATAAACCCCATGAATACTATAGATATATCACCTATAAACCATAGTTATTGGAGTTATAAACCAACTTAGCTATCGTTTGGGGGCACCACCTTGTGGGATATGGAGGTTTCCTGAAATGGGGGTAGCCCCAGTTCTCATCCCAAAATAGACCATTTGATGATTGAACATATTGAAACCCCATTGTTTGTTGGGGATCGCCTACCGTAAGGAACCTCCAACAATAATCATTTACCCTCTGGTAAACTAACATAGCTATTGAACATGGCAAGTTATAGCGAGTTGTCCCATTAAAAATGGTGATTTTCCATAGTTATGTTAGTTTACCAGAGGGTATCTGCTTGGTGCTTTGGAACCATGGAAATTTAATTTTCCATATATGGGATGCCATCCTTCCCATTGACGAAGTCCATCATTTTTCAAGATGGTTAAAAAAACACCATGCAGATGATGATAATTAATGGGTTTAGTCTGTGAATCTATTTGTTCACGGATTCACATCTGAACATCCCAACTTGACAGCGATGAAAAATCTTCGTTCGGGGTGGGTTTTGACCCATAGCCGTAGCCATATCACTTTCAATATCTTTCAATGAGATACTATACATTAGATATAAAGCCAAGAGGCGGCAAACAAGAATGGACTGGCCATCTGAAATAGTCTTGGCATGTATATCTGGTCGGTGGTTTGGAACCATGGAATTTTATGACTTTCCATTCAGTTGGGAATATATTTTCCCAACTGACGAAAACTCCATCATTTTTCAAAGGGCTATATAGGTCAACCACCAACCACCAACATAGCTATGGAAAATGGCCAGTTATAGTTGATTTACCCACTAAACATGGTGATTTTCCATAGTTATGTAGCAGTTTACCAGAGGGTAAATTGTGTATTGTCTAACCGTGCAAGATCTGTTCCGTGTTTCCTGATTTGACCCAAATAAAAAAAATCTTCGCGGAGGAGATCGAGAAAAGATCGACAAAACATCCGATTTTAGTTCAGCATTTTGTGACCCCCCCAGATATGTTTGTTGTTTTTAGAAGATCCAGATCATTTCAGATTTCTATCATTTTTATCATATTTCACAAGTTGTTGTTTTTCAGCATTTTTATGTTCGAGATATCTGGCAATTGATCATAGTTCTAGAAAAAGCTCCATCAACTTCGCAGAACATTTCTCGATTTGGCTATCGCGGCATTGGACGCTCCGCTTGTCGTCCAGTCGACAAAAAAACATGACATCCCGAGGCTCACTCGTCCTCGCTGGCCGTAATGAGTTTGGTGCGACCTGATTTGCGAGTCAAGGGCATCTCTCCAGTAGAAGAGTTCAAGGCCTGCAAAAACGCCGCACCTGGGCCGCGTTGAAAGACAAAGATAAAAGACGCCGTTGGTGATTGCACGACTGGGGATTGCTATTGGCTTGGAGATGAAAATCACATTAAAGAAAAAACATGGAATTCATCGGAATTCCAGTCCACCCTGTGGTTTAAGACCTACTGTGTTTGTTTTAAGGGTCAATGCGGGGAAAATGTTTGAACCACCAAGCACGGACCTAGCCAATCTTAGGTCAAAACATGTGCCGTCAAGTTTCCAGTGGAAAGATGAGAAATCAAATTTTCCGAATCGTCAGTAGGTTGGATAGTTTTTCCAAAGCAGTCTATTGTATATAATTATAACATTGATATAATATGTAATATATATATATATACTTATTTAATTTGCATAATTTTGCATACACATATCAGTATGATGTCAGTATGTATAATCAAATTATATTATGTAATATGTTGTAAGAATATTCATACAACACATATATGTGATGTGTTAAACGTAGTCATCAGCATCATCAGCATCATCAGCATCATCAGCATCATCAGCATCATCAGCATCACCATCACCACCACCACCACCACCACCACCATCATCATCATCATCATAATCATCATCATCATCATCAGCAGCATCATCATCATCACCACCACCATCGTCATCATCGTCATCATCATCATCACCATCAGCATCACAATCATCGTCATCACCATCATCGTCATCATCAGCATCATAATCATCATCATCATCATCATCATCATCATCATCATCATCATCATCATCATCACATGATGGGGATAGGTCAACATCCACAATTCCGAGCTATTTTAGGCTACCTTCCGGGTATTCATATGTTTGTTCATGCATGGTACCAACAATTGCAGCCACCAAGGTGGAGATTGAAGGCCTGAAACGAGCGTGTAAACGCGACTCCATAGCTCTTGTCCAAGTCCTTTCGTCGCTGGAGAAGCAACTAGCAGCCAATGGAGCTTCAGCAACCTTGCAGAAAGAATTTGAGAAGTTGTGCCGTAATTTGAACAGTTTGCTATTGAAAATGACCCAGTTATAGATATTTATAGTTGATTTTGCCATTAAAGTTAAGTAGTGATTTTCCATGACTATGTTAGGTTACCAGAGGGTAAATCAGGAAATATGAAGTAGATGTGGAAAACCTATGAACAAACTGTGGTTTCCTTAGGAACAATATCTACCAATGGGCTATGTTCCACATCTCTGTTAGTTTACAGTAGGGTAACTAAATGCAACCCCCCAACCCGATAGAACATACTCATAGCTTATGTAAACCATCGAACTAACATCCTGTTTCACTGACATCTGCAATTTTTTTTTGGCTGCCGAGGCATCATTGCTCAATGAAGTGGACGTCTGCGAAATGATCACCGCCTTTAGACGAAAACTGGAGCTTTATGTAGGTCCCTTGGTGGGAAAAATGGTCCCCTTTAAGGGTGGCAAAGAACATGGGAAAACCCAATTTCTACGTGGGAATCTTCTACGTGCGAATATATAGTAATGATATTGGATGTATAGTGGTACATAATGACATATAGTGGTGGTTTTTAACAAGTGGATCTGCGCGGGGCACTCGATTTTGTAATTTCAACCAAGGAGAACCTTGAATGGCTAGTTTAGTACAACTTACTCGTACCCTAGGATAGACTAGCCTCTGGTAAACAAACATAGCTTAACATAGCTATTGAAAATGGCCATTTATAGTGGATTTACTAGGATTTGCCCATTAAAAATGGTGATTTTCCATAGTTATGTTAGTTTACCAGAGGGTAGATGTGGAAAACCCATTGGTTCAACCGGTATGAAAATGATGTACGAATGGTGGGTTTCCACATCGATGTTTTTGTTCGCAGGAGAGCAGTCTTTTGTTATCTATATAGTTGGTGGTTTGGAACATGAATTTTATTTTCCATAATATATGGGATAATCGTTCCCATTGACTTTCATATTTTTCAGAGAGGTAGGTATACCACCCTCCAGTTATCTTGATGAGGATCTATTTACTAAACATGTTTTTTGGAGGGAGGGGTATCAACAAGCGGCCATGTTGGTTGGATGTCCATTTTTCATCTATCATGATATATCTTCAGTAATGTGGTAAACCCAATAATAAACTACCCCCAATAGAGGTTCTCGAAATGGCTGGTTATATAACGGGATCGTTTGTTGGTTTAACATTGAAACCATAGGAAAAACAAGTAAAATACAAGAAAAAGGTTTCTTAAATACCACATATTTCATATATTCCCTCATTTTCAAGGGTATATCTTTAATATTCCCTGGTTCCCAGGGCATAATTTTTATGTAGCCCTGGCTTCCAGGGGTGTATTGTTGTACTTTCTGGCTGGATACAAGATGGTTTTATTTTTGACACACCCAGGGCACTGCAAATTCCCACAGGGAGGGAGGGAGGGAGGGGGGGCAGGGCATGCAATTAATCTGCCAGAGATGGACCTGCCCAATGACAGATCATGAGCTCAATGGCAATCCATTGATGGACAATCAGGCATTGCTACTGAATTTTTATTGGTTGGATCTGGGTATTTCTTATGAGTATATAAATATCAAATAATATATATACACATATATATATATATTATAATTCAAATAATTATGTCTGCCATAAAGTTCACTTTATTACACTCCCTCAATTCCAGGGTGACTAGCAATCCCACCCAGAAAGGGGCACTCGTCCAACGCAGGTGTCAAGACCTCAGTGGCTAAATTGGGTAACCAGTGGGTGTTTTGCCATGCCTTCCCTTTGAATCATTTTTTCAACAACTGACTGGTTTCTTTATGTTTTGAAAAGTATCATAAAATTGAAACGCACTTTCTAGATCCAGACATGTCAGAAACACCATGAAAACTAGTCAGTCTTGTAACTTATTATTGCAAAGTGATTAGATATTCATGCACTAGATTGCAACCCAGGAAAAAAAACAATAATTATATACAGTACCTGCTAGGATTGATTTTGCCCCTGGCTTCTACTGTTCCAACCATATAAAACAATCTGAACGTGTTCATTGCCTAGATTTGGCCCATGATGTACATATGTATATATATATATATATATGATATATTTGTTCGAATATGAATGCATTGTGCATTTCTTGTACACTCCCTGGGTTCCAGGGTGATCCGCATTCCTGCCCAGAAGGGACATCCATCCAAAGCAGGTGTCAAGACCTTAGTGGCTAAATCGGTCGATCAGTGTTGGAACAGTGGATTTGCAATGTTTATTTTGTCATGTCTTCCTTTTTGACTCCTTTTTTCCCACTTTCAGTTTGTTTTCCACATATTTTCAAAGGTGAGTTGGTGTTCAATTTTAACAGCTGCTCAGTCATGTCATGACGTTAAACTTGTAGCTCAGGGGTATTCAGTGAATCTAATTTATTATTATGCTGAATGCTTTAGGATTTCAATGAGATTAAATGTAACTAATTGCAATGACAATAAATCAATCAACTTGTCCCTGGATTCAGGACACAGGTGTTTCATGAACAAGACCTTCCAGGTTGGACTGCCGAATAGGCAGAGTGCCGAACAGGCACAGTCCGGAGCCCATAGCAGCCCTGGTTTCCAGGGAATAATAACCGCCCTGGCTTCCAGGGAATAATACATAAACCGCCCTGGTTTCCAGGGAATAAATAATATTAAATAATAAACTGCCCTGGTTTCCAGGGAATAATTAATAAACTGCCCTGGTTTCCAGGGAATTTAAAATAAACTGCCCTGGTTTCCAGGGAATAATTAATTATCAATAAACAGCCCTGGTTTCCAGGGAATAATTAATTATTAATAAACCGCCCTGGTTTCCAGGGAATAATATATAAACTGTCCTTATTTCTACAAATTATTAATAAACCGCCCTGGTTTCCAGGGAGTAATAGGGGTTATTTTACTTGTTCATCAGCCATTGAATTCCATTCCAGGGCTTGTTGGTTTCCAAGGCATTTTATATGCTAATTGACCACATCACCAGGGTATAGAATATAACAAGGAGTGCCCTAAATGGGGGCACAAGGGAGTTTCCTCTGGTGTGGAACCTCAGCATCAGGTTTGGTCGGTGCAACCAGGTGGACATGAGATCCTGGCTTCTAGGTATGTAGCAAAATATGTGTTGGCCTCTGAGGATGACAACTAAAAAATACCAATGCATTTCTATACTATACAGGTATGTATATATATATATATATATGTACATGTATCTATACTAGACAGGCACAGTCCAGAGCCCATAGCAGCCCTGGCTTCCAGGGGCCCTGGCTTCCAGGGAATAATTAATAAACAGCCCTGGCTTCCAGGGAATGATAAAGTTCACTTTATTACACTCCCTCAATTCCAGGGTGATCAAAAATCCCACACAGAAAGGGGCACTCATCCAACGCAGGTGTCAAGACCTCAGTGGCTAAATTGGGTAACGGTGGATGTGTTTGCTATGCCTCCCCTTTGAATCATTTTTCTCCTCTGACTGGTTTCTTTATGTTTTGATAGTATGATAAATTTGAACTGCACTTTCTAGATCCAGACATGTCAGAAACACCATGAAACCTAGTCAGTCTTGTAAATTGTAGCTTATGGTATTGCAAAGTGATTACATTTTTCATGCACTAGATTGCAATCCAGGAAAAACAATATACCTGCTAGGATTGGTTTTGCCCCTAGCTTCTACTGTTCCAACCATTAAAAAATAATCTGAACATGTTCATTGCCTAGATTGTGGTGTGTATTTATATATATATATAATAAATATAATATATATATATGATAATAATAAATAATAATAATTATTATTATTATCATTATTATCATTATAATTGTATGTTCAAATATGAATGCATTGTGCACATATCTGCATTGGCATTCCCGCCCAGAAGGGACATCCATCCAAAGCAGGTGTCAAGACCTTAGTGGCTAAATCGGTCGATCAGTGTTGGAACAGTGGATTTGCAATGGTTTTGTCATGTCTTCCTTTTGACTATTATTTCTACTTTCAGTCTGGTTTCCTCATATTTTGAAAGGTGAATTTGAAACACATTTTAACAGTTGCTCAGTCATGACGTTAAACTTATACTTCATGGGTATTCAGTGAACTTAATTCATTATGCTGAATGCTTTAAGATTTCAATGAGAATAAATGTAAGTGTAACTAATTGCAATGAGAACAACTGTAACTGTAATCAACCAACTTGTCCCTGGATTCAGGACACAGGTGTTTCATGAACAAGATCTTCCAGGTTGGACTGCCAAATAGGCAGGGTCGGGTGCCAAACAGGCACAGTCCGGAGCCCATAGCAGCCCTGGTTTCCAGGGAATAATTAATAAGCCGCCCTGGTTTCCAGGGAATAATAAATAAACCGCCCTGGCTTCCAGGGAATAATTAATAAACCGCCCTGGTTTCCAGGGAATAATGAATTATTAATTAACCGCCCTGGTTTCCAGGGAATAATGAACTATTAATAAACAGCCCTGGTTTCCAGGGAATAATTAATAAACCGCCCTGGTTTCCAGGGAATAATATATAAACTGCCCTTATTTCCACAAATTATTAATAAACCGCCCTGGTTTCCAGGGAGTAATTATTAATAAACAGCCCTGGTATCCAGGGGTTATTTTACTTGTTCATCAGCCATTGAATTCCATGAAAAAAATATTGCCCAGGGCTTGTTGGTTTCCAAGGTATTTTATATGCTAATTGACCACATCACCAGGGTATAGAATATAACAAGGAGTGCCCTAAATGGGGGCACAAGGGAGTTTCCTTTGGTGTGGAACCTCAGCATCAGGTTTGGTCGGTGCAACCAGGTGGACATGAGATCCTGGCTTCTAGGTATGTAGCAAAATACGTGTTGGCTTCTGAGGATGACAACTAAAAAATACAAATACATGTATCTATACGTTACAGGTATGTATATATATATATATGTATATGTATGTATATGTATAGATGTGTATATAAACTCACAGTCAAACATTACTTAAGGGCCCTGTGTGTAGCTGATAGTAGGTTGTGGATGACTATGCCAGTGGCATAGTAGGGTAAAAACTTATTTTTGTAAGCAACCATGTCCTCCATTAGGAAAGGCAAATGAAACATGAAATTCATAGGCACTTCCCCTGGTTTTCACATAGCAACATAGTTGTGTGTCAAAGACTATGTGTTCACAATGTGGTCCTTGGATAGTGTTTTCACTATGTGTTGCACCATATGTATCTGAAATCTAGTTGGTATTTGCACAGAATATCATTTTTGGTTTGCAAAATACACCATGCCCTGTACACATGGACAATAGCATATCCTTGTTCCAACACAGACAGGCTAGCCCAAGGAAACCAGGAGGTCAGTTCGATGAAGCACCCAAACTTGGCCATGAGGCCACAGCGCCAGAACCACGAGGACTGCAGCCAGGCAAGAGATGTCCTGCCAGGGGTTCCCATGAGTACCATTGTAAGGCAACCAATTATATGATTACATGCAAGACAAATTCTCCCAAG